CTCCTCTTCTCCATCTCCTTGTAAAACATTCCTCCATCTGCCATTGCCCCCTCCTCTCTCCCAGATTTGACAGCTGTCAACCATGTGCTGCACAAGTGCATAGCTTCTAACAGGCATAGGTCTTTGGAAAAACGCAGGACACCTTTTGTTATTTTTATAGGAAAACAACACTACTTGGTTAGGGTTGAACAGGTATACATACACTACCAATCAAACGTTCTTGTTGATTCCATGAGCCAGCTCTGTTGGCACCATGTTTGATGTTCTTGAAAGCTCTCTTCCATTTTTTTTTTTTTTTTTTTTTGTTTTACAAGGTAGATGGATTGTTGGTTCTTTCCTCAACCCACTCCGAATGCTCAGGCTTGGCATCAATGTGATAGCACATGGGCATATCCAACACATACTGGGGCCAATTGTAGACAGGAACCAATTAGCCTACCTGTATGTTGTTGGAATGTGACATTCAGCATATGAAATGACATTCCAGTTTCTTTCCAGTCAGCAAAATTGGCCAAAATATGGGCTATTGTGGAGCGGGGTCAATTTTAATTTTGTTTATCATCTTGAAAGGGAATTTTTCACAGTTTAGACCACAGACCTTGTTGAGTTTCCTTGGGAGTTTTTTTTTTTTTTTTTTTTTTTTTAATGGGCATTTCCCTTTTGAAATACTGAGAAGGCGAATACAATGGACTAAAATGAAAGTGTTTATACTCTGCATTTCCTTCTGACTTTCAACAATAAACATCATTTCTCCTAAAATGTGGCTGCTAATGACAGGGGGTCATGCAATGCTTTTTACCACTCCAGGATATTGTACATACAATGTGTCAACACTTCCTCTGCGTTCTCAATGATGTAGCTGTGTGTCATCTGTCATTATGAAGAGGACGAGTAAGCACAACGTATTTAGGTCACAGAATGTAGAGCAAGCCAGGCACAGTTGATTAATAAGCATTTTCTACAGCTGACAGAAGCATTGCACAACCAACTTTTTCCTAATTACAAAGTTCCTTGCAGCACATCGCATAGTTCTGTGCCTCATAAACGTCTCTAACTGCACAGACCAGCACATCTGTGATTGAGTAGTGAACATAATGCTGTGATGTCGGACGATAAATGATGTGCTTGGAATTTCTAGTGATGGCTACAAATGTAGCTAAAGTCACAATGGTTTGTTTTAGAAAGTGCGGTGAGCAGTTAGAACCTCTCTAAGGGTTGTTATTGTGGTCTGTGTGCCCACGAGGGAGAGTCGCCCATCTCCATTTGTCTGGGCGTCCCATTGTCATTGCATTGAAAAGCAGGTTGCAAACTTTTAAGCTATCACTCGTTTCAAAGAAGGACACTTTTCAGGTGACAAGAGTGCATTTACTTGAGGCTGCATTCACACTTGAGTGTTAGCAAAATTCCATTCATTTCAATGGACCCTGATCACGCTCAGATGTCAACAGCGACTGTTGAAATGAACAGGATTTTGTAGCTCAAAGATACTCAACATCAAAATCCTACTCATTTCAGTAGTACCTGTTGACATCTGAGTGTGAATAGGGTCCATTTGAAATGAGTGGAATTTTTCTTGAGTATCTTTCACCTACAAAACACTCAGGTGTGTATGCGGCCTTAGTGAAATTTCCTGTTGTCTGAGACAGGAAGTGCTATCAATTTTCCTCAGTGGGAAACATTGAAAAAAAAAACAGTACAACTATTCCCTCTGTTATCCAAAGTTTTGGCTTTTGATATACATTCATTGTACTCAGGGAGTGTCAAAGGTTGGGTAGAAATAATGGCGTTGCAATTACAGATTTTTGGGACAGTCGTCCTGAGCACTAGGCTGAACAAGTATGCAGGATGACATGGGAGTTCATACTTTCACAGGCTGTAGGCTTGTTTCAGCTCAGTGACTCATTAAGTAGTACAGGCAGAGTCAGTCTTGCAGCCTGCACCTTTAAATGCAAGCTGAAATCAGGCTGACAGCGCCAGAGCCTGCGCCATTGCATCCAAGACAGTCTCCGGGACCTGACGGCCTCAAGCCTGCGCCATTGCATTCAAGACAGTCTCCGGGGCCGACGGCCTCAGAGCCTGCGCCATTGCATCCAAGACAGTCTCCGGGGCCGACGGCCTCAGAGCCTGCGCCATTGCATCCAAGACAGTCTCCGGGACCTGACGGCCTCAGAGCCTGCGCCATTGCATCCAAGACAGTCTCCGGGGCCGACGGCCTCAGAGCCTGCGCCATTGCATCCAAGACAGTCTCCGGGGCCGACGGCCTCAGAGCCTGCGCCATTGCATCCAAGACAGTCTCCGGGGCCGACTGCCTCAGAGCCTGCGCCATTGCATCCAAGAGAGTCTCCGGGACCTGACGGCCTCAGAGCCTGCGCCATTGCATCCAAGAGAGTCTCCGGGACCTGACGGCCTCAGAGCCTGCGCCATTGCATCCAAGAGAGTCTCCGGGACCTGACGGCCTCAGAGCCTGCGCCATTGCATCCAAGAGAGTCTCCGGGGCCGACGGCCTCAGAGCCTGCGCCATTGCATCCAAGACAGTCTCCGGGGCCGACGGCCTCAGAGCCTGCGCCATTGCATCCACGACAGTCTCCGGGGCCGACTGCCTCAGAGCCTGCGCCATTGCATCCAAGAGAGTCTCCGGGACCTGACGGCCTCAGAGCCTGCGCCATTGCATCCAAGAGAGTCTCCGGGACCTGACGGCCTCAGAGCCTGCGCCATTGCATCCAAGAGAGTCTCCGGGGCCGACGGCCTCAGAGCCTGCGCCATTGCATCCAAGAGAGTCTCCGGGGCCGACGGCCTCAGAGCCTGCGCCATTGCATCCAAGACAGTCTCCGGGGCCGACGGCCTCAGAGCCTGCGCCATTGCATCCAAGACAGTCTCCGGGACCTGACGGGGCCTCAGAGCCTGCGCCATTGCATCCAAGAGAGTCTCCGGGACCTGACGGCCTCAGAGCCTGCGCCATTGCATCCAAGAGAGTCTCCGGGGCCGACGGCCTCAGAGCCTGCGCCATTGCATCCAAGAGAGTCTCCGGGGCCGACGGCCTCAGAGCCTGCGCCATTGCATCCAAGACAGTCTCCGGGGCCGACGGCCTCAGAGCCTGCGCCATTGCATCCAAGACAGTCTCCGGGGCCGACGGCCTCAGAGCCTGCGCCATTGCATCCAAGACAGTCTCCGGGACCTGACGGCCTCAGAGCCTGCGCCATTGCATCCAAGACAGTCTCCGGACCTGACGGCCTCAGAGCCTGCGCCATTGCATCCAAGAGAGTCTCCGGGACCTGACTGCCTCAGAGCCTGCGCCATTGCATCCAAGAGAGTCTCCGGGACCTGACTGCCTAAGAGCCTGCGCCATTGCATCCAAGAGAGTCTCCGGGACCTGACGGCCTCAGAGCCTGCGCCATTGCATCCAAGAGAGTCTCCGGGACCTGACGGCCTCAGAGCCTGCGCCATTGCATCCAAGAGAGTCTCCGGGACCTGACGGCCTCAGAGCCTGCGCCATTGCATCCAAGAGAGTCTCCGGGACCTGACGGCCTCAGAGCCTGCGCCATTGCATCCAAGAGAGTCTCCGGGACCTGACGGCCTCAGAGCCTGCGCCATTGCATCCAAGAGAGTCTCCGGGACCTGACGGCCTCAGAGCCTGCGCCATTGCATCCAAGAGAGTCTCCGGGACCTGACGGCCTCAGAGCCTGCGCCATTGCATCCAAGAGAGTCTCCGGGGCCGACGGCCTCAGAGCCTGCGCCATTGCATCCAAGACAGTCTTGGATGCAATGGCGCAGGTTCTGAGGCCGTCGGCCCCGGAGACTGTCTTGGATGCAATGGTGCAGGCTCTGAGGCAGTCTCCTTATTTCTGACCTCACAGGTTCAGTTGAATACCTACTCAAAACATGTGTAGCTCCATATTGTAGAACTGTGAGAGTCAGCTAGGATGAGCTTAACAGTCCCTCAGTATCAAAATGCATTGCTAGTGATAAAGCTTACAACCCTTACATGATGTGCAAAATGGGGGGAATATTACTTAATATAGTAGAAGATGCTGAATGTTACCCATTCAGAACACTTTTTTTTCTCCTCTTTTTACCCCAAAACTGACACGCTTTTTAAAAAAAAAGCCAACTTTTCGTCTCAAAAAAAAAAAAAAATTGCTGTCCTAGTCATTATCATATTGATTGAAGCAAAACAAGCTCCTCTTTCTTAAAAAAAAAAAAAAAAAAAAATCTTAGTTCCTTTTGTCCTACACCTTAAATTTGTGAACTGTGTCAATTTACTCTATCAGCTTGTGTTCGTTAAATATGTAAACTCTGCAGCAATCCAGTGTTAAGGCATTGTTTATGTGGTCTCAGCTGATGTGGAAGGTCCAGGGGGCCCTGCTGACCAGGGGACTGTTCAGGGAGCACCAGTGCCAGTCAGTACCTATGCCTAAACAGTGGTCCTAAAGGATCTTCTAGTTCTGGGGATCTAGGTATTAGAGATGCAACATATCCTTTTCCTAAAGGGTGACTGTACCATATGTTCACTCTACCTAAAGCCACCCCACTTCACAGCTTACTTACCTCCATTCCAGTATGTTCGGTGTTTCCCTTCTGATGAAAATCTGTGCAGTGCTGGGGGTATCTCTATGTAGGCTTAAATGGAGCTATACTGAATGCTCAAGCCTACAGAGGTATATACACGGGGCACAACCATGGCCAATGATGGCAGATTTTCATCAGAGAGATGTAAACAGTGGTGTAGGCCATGACACTGGAATGGTGATAAGCAGCTGCTATGAAAGGGAGGATGACTGTGGATTGAAGGAGCATGAACAGAAAGGTATTTCAGGTTGAACTGGTGTGTTTTAATCATCTATGTAATGATGGAGAGGTATCATTAGTATAATGGTTTTTCATTTACATATTTTCATGTTGGAGAGTGAATATTTAAATAAAAATGTCTAACTTTAAGCTTGCTTGTCATGTCATAAATGAAATCTGTTTTCATACTGAATATCATTCTTGTATCCATCCAGTGAGAAGAGGCTCCTCCCGGTTACCGTTGGGCACCCAGTCCAGTGTAGCCAACATGGCAAATCCTGCTCCATCATCGTGGAAACCAAAATCAACCAATCACAGCCTCACTTCAACAAAGGACGTTCCGGTTTTACCTTGAGTGTGCCAGCCAACTAATGTGCGTGTGCCTGAACCATACGATGATACTGAGTATCTATACGTCTACCAATGCCTTATACAGCCAACGATACCTTGGGTTCATATTGCAGGGACCGGTTCCCTCAGAACATTTTTGTCAGTCCCTGAAGGGAATACATTTAAACCATACAACATTACTGTTCAATTTTTAACCCAGACTCTACAGTCTTTAACTGCCTATCTTTTTAGATTCCTTCATATAATTTGTCTTATTTTCAATTTCACAGGATTTAGTTCTCAAAAGAATAATTAAAAAATTAATCTAGATTCATAACTTCCATTGTTTGTGGTGAAAATGGCATGTTTGTTGGGTGACCGTTTGTTTGGGAGCACTACCTTTTATAGTCTGGTGCACACAAAAACCCCAATCACATTTGTGCATTGTGGCCATGTAGGCAAAGACATTAATGTACATTACCACACCTGCTATGTGCGCCATTCATTGTGTTGCACTACTGTCCAGTGTTGAGGTAACATTTATTTCAGGTACTTGTATAGCACCGTCAATTTACACAGCACTTTACATATATATTGTACATTCACATCACATTCCCAAACCATGTGTGCTGCATTTTGAAAGGGTCATGCATGGGGGTTCCACTCCCATCTGCTGTGGGGTGTTGACAGCCCAATATAAAATGCAACACAATAAGTCTACCCTCCCACCCCATGCAAAAATAACACACGTGTGGCACATAGAATGTGAGTTTTTTATTTTATCCTCACAGTACAAAAATAAATAAAAACACAGAGTTAGACACAAGCTGGAGGGTTTCTGCATTGCCTCCATACCCTGCATTAGTGTCATTCACACACAAACTACACAACGACTTCATGTAAACCAGGAGATGCTACAAGTACATTAACCTGATGCCCACACCCGTACTGCCATGTTCAGGCCCAGATTCCAGTACGGGAACATGCATACCCTGTGTACATGGGTGGGCTACAGGTGGTGGTCATGCACTCAGTCACACAAAATACAGATTTATATACATCTATGTATATTAAACAGGCAGAGTCCAGGTACCATGCCAGGTCACATAGCCTGCACACAATAGAAGTCTGTGTACACAAAGGCCCTCTCCTTGATTGTAATCTAGATCCTGCTCTCCACTACTGGCCCTACATAGAACCCGCCATCTCCCTTCTAGCAGATTACCATGATCCATAGGGCTCGAGCTGGTAGTGTGATATTAAAGAGAGCCTGCTTCAAGGCAACATACTGGTGTGGAAAGCCTCAACTGTAAGTTAATCTTCCTTTGACTTATATGTATGCAAGGTATACCTGAAGATGCCTATCTTGTATTACAGATGAGAGTAAGTGTTTTATGGAAGGTATCAAAGTGTGCGTACTAAAGTTTCTCACAGCAACCAGTAAGATTCAAACCTGACTTGAAAGCTTGAATCCAATTGGTGATGTATCCGGCAGAGGAGAGGATTGAGGAAGCAGGCCTCCCACCTCACATGCCTTGGAGAAGACAGAGACTATGCTAAAATTTAAATTTTGTCTATTCCATTGCAGAGTCTGCTGGCTATCAATACAACTCACTTATTGGTTTTACTCATGGCTTGAAACTGGCATTTAATGTCATTCTACCAGGTTACACTGCTGTTGAGCCCTTACTGCTTTTAGGACTTTTGTTATACTGTACGCTTCTATTTTCGCATAGCACTAGATCTATCCACACTATTGACTCTAATGGCATCTCATAAATGGGAACTTCTACTGCAGCAGAGATGCTCCTAGCAATGAAGAGCGCACCTGATGCAAACCACAAGGTAGGGTAGGTAACTGAGTAAAAGCAAGTAGCTGCAGTTCTACATTCTCTGCCCTCCCGTGTTCACATTGGGATGCATGGCAGTAGTTAAGTCTAGTAATAATTACACTAAGACTAGATAGCCATACTGGGGATCGCAGATCCTCACCCACTAGCAGGCCATAGACAGTTTTTGGCAGACATCTGGCAAGGAGAGTTTCTAAATGTATCATCTATCATAAAAAGTACAAGCCTTCACTGTATGGACCTGGATGGGAAACCTGCATCCTACCAGCAAAACACACAAAATGAAAAAAAGTCTCCACAACTCTCTTCTAACACTGCACATGTAACAAAAAAAAACAGGGAAATCGAACTCCTCGTCTGCTAGAACACATTGTGAAAACAAGGAGTTAATGGCACATATTGTACAGGTAATGTTATCATAGCAGGCTATTCTAGAACAAGCACCCAGTACATTACAAAAAGTGCATCTTTTTCTTGCTCATGAGGGCTTATTCTATACAGCTGTCACTGGGGGAATGGCCATCTTTCACATGTCTCTCAACACAGATGTAAATGTGGTTGGCAGTACCTTTTTTTTTGAAATGATTCCTTGAAATAGGGCTTCCCAATTCCATTACCAGAGAGCCATAAAAACAAAGATTTTTGGAGCACACTTGTGTTCGGTGAACTGATCCTTTGCTTAGTTCATTGTCTGCCAATTAGAGGAATGCTAAAAACATTGGGATCCTGGCCCAAGGGGACTGGAGTAGTTTAACTCTAGAAATTCTACTACTGTGGAGCCTCCACAGTATTTGGAATTTCTAAATTGTCTGAAATAAGAACTGTCTGGGTCTCATGCAGCTGAGCAACACCATTTCTTGTCACCTAATACGACACTGAAAATTATGGGCCAACTGGTATCCCTGGATGTTTTAATCCAGATCACCATTTTTCCAATGTACAAGGTGTTGGGCCACCTTCTTCTGCTTGGTCCAGCTTTTAAGCTGAACATGTAAGTGGCAAACTACAGATGTGGGCTGATAATTCATGGTAGAGAAAGACTGCTATCATCTATGTCCCCCCACCTTACCAACATTGGGAGCTTTTACCCATAGACTGGATTTTGTCCAAGCTTTGCTTCACAGCCCCATCTTTTCTGATTGGCTTCATCATTCTTGGTCACCTGAGTGGGATGAACTCCTGCAAGCAGAAAGCTATTGGCAGTTTGGCAGAAATGTGTCATGCAAAGCACCTTATTGGTAGATATTTTACTGGTATTAAAGCAGAGCTCCATTCTCCTGTTAGAAAAAAAACAAAAGTCAGCAAAAAAAACTGTAGCTGCTGACTTCTGTCCTCACCGCAGCCAGGTTCACCAGCCTTCCCCTGTCCCAGCACCTTAAGTGTGGGCATCTAGCTGCAACAGCTTGCAGCCTCAAGCCAGGTGCCCACTGCGCATGCACGAGCAGCACTGCTTTGTGAATGCTCCCGGTGGTCTTCAAGAACTTGTCACATATCCCAGAAAACTGCGGACAGGAGGTGAGTGGGTAGGAGAGCTCTGCTTCCGTTCAGCTAGGCGGTCAGAACAGAAGTGTGAGCAGGTACCTGTCAAAATCGGGGGTACTCACTCCCCAAAAGGTCCCAATCTTAAAACGGGGGGAGCTGGGGAAGAGTCCTTAAAGCGGAACTTCCCCCTTTTGGTTGGAGCTCCCCTTTAAGAAGACTACATCCATCAAGGTTGGCAGAAGCATTTCTGCCTTCAGAGACTTATGTGATTTATTTTATAAATACATTGTGAACATTGCCAGTGATCAAATTTAGCTTCTGTTCATGGTCTTAGTACTGAACCTTTTGGTACAAAATTCCTCTGCAGTGATAAGATTACTAGTTCCTCACAGCATCCAATTAAATTCCAGCTTTCAGAGCCTAACTTTTCCAGAGCAGGTTTGAATTTAGTTCATGGTTTGGGGAAAATATGCCAATACATGGTCCAGCTCTTTGTATTCCATGTTAGGTCAACAGGGTCCACATTAAGGACTTGGCCCAAGGGTTGCAAGACAAAACCTGTGATCTAATGAACTGATAATCTTCGTATCTGTACAGTCAATAACATGGCAGCCATCACACTGTTTGGGTTACAGATTAAGTGCCTGAACCAAAAAAACTGCCTCTACGTCCCTACGACAGATTCAAGTATTAATGCAGTCGTTGTAGGTTTAATTCAGATGGTCCTTCTTTCAGACCCCTTAAAATAAGATGCAGTAGAGCAAATACTGCCATGGATACCAGACTAACAACCATCTGTGCAATCACCAAGCCTCAACAAAAGATTCACAAAAATCCAGCCCTGCCTATGAATCCCAACAAGAAAATGCCAGTCAGTTGGTGAGCCTCCCCAACTAAATATTCATTGTATACTTTGCTTGGTCCTTGGCTATTGCTAAATGTGATTCCTACAACAAAAGAAATATTTTAACACTCAATTATCCAAAGATATGTCTGTTACCAGCAAACCATGGTACCACCATTTTGTACCTGAACCATTTAAGAGATCTGGTTCACTACAAACAAGTGGCATCATGTAATTCGTTCTTCTGACCTTAACAGGTACACGGCTCAAAAAGGCTGCCACCAATATGCCTGCTGGGTGACAGTAACAACTATAGCCAGAGACCCAGGAAGGCAGCTTTACATCTGCTCTCGGACATATAAACCTGCTACCCTGAGCCATTTCACAGTGATGCGATTCTGTTCCTGCTTTTTGAATGGTCAAGCCAACATAAATCATATTCACATTAGAGGGATAATATAGACAGAATCAGAAAAATGACAGAATGCAAAGTGCACTAACCCAAAGCAACCGATAGGAATTCGCATTACAGGAATCTAAGTCTGATAACTGCTAGCAGCCAATCAAAACGGGTCTTCCACCAAGCTGACCCATTCAGTAAAGTTTGGTAGGTTGCTATGGTTACTGCATTTTGCATATCCTCATCACTCTTTTGCCATCATCAAACAGGTCCATGAGATTTAAAGAAGGGAATGTCTGATCTCAGGAATTAGACACTAACTTGGCCTGGTCAGGTTGTTCATTCCGACATCTAGAAGATACAATGAATTTGCAGTTGAATCCTATGGGTAATGGCCCCTTGAACTAAAGAAGTGAGTTAGGCTGTGTACAGTTAGTGCAAAATATAGGGTTTTATAACAGAAAAAAATTTTGGTAAACAAAAATGGAAACTATATTCCTAATAAAGCAAGTCCATCCAAAACTGAAAAAAGTAGTTCGGAACAGAATATTCTGTCAGAAACAAAGTGCTCAATAGGAGAGCCCCAAAATGTCTGTGGGGCTCTTAGTGGTGAAATAGGATTATGACAGTATCACACAGTTATGGGGTGAACGGAAAACAAAAAAAAAACCAAAAATAATCCCATAGCAGGACTTAGGGACAGAATATTCCAAATTTGAATCTTCAGTTATGGGTGAATTTCCTAGGAGCTGCCAAAGTCACGAAGGCCCTCCCAATCTTCATTGAAAACAAACAGGCTGCATTGTTACAATTAGCCATTCATCCCTCAAAATTGCTGCCCTTTTTCAGGTGGGTTCCCTACTAGGATTGATAATATTCTACAGGTCTGCAACTTCAAGAGGAACAGGCAGGGCAGGAAATCAGTAGCTGCCCTTGCCGACTTGTTTTTGATGATGCAGGTTCTAAGGTTGCCATCCTTGCCCTTCCTTTTCTACTTGGTAAGGTGTCAGTTCTGAAAGAAGCGTATATCTTGGGTGCCAGACACCTACCATGCATGCTTGTTCCAGAACAGAAGTGAAGTGAAGCAAGGGTAAGGATCATAGCCTTGGAACATGCAAATGCAAAACCAAGTTTGCAACAGCCGCTCCCGTATTCCCATCCGATAGGTTCCCACTAACAAAATGCATGGCCTCTTAGCTTTATTATGTGTCTCAAGCCAAAATGTTTTCATTTTCCCTGGGATAATAGTCAGCTCTGCTGCACAGTATCTTATAATGGACTAAATGCAATTTCTCCTGCGGTCCGGGACCCAGGCCGGTGGTGAGTAGATCAAATCCCAACAAAGAAACCACGGGGCATACAAGGTCGTGCAGCTCCAAACCAAGGCTGGGGAAGCCCGACTAGAACTGTGAAGTAAAACAAGAAGAAGCGCACCAACCTTGCGCATTACCTCAGTAACCAAAATTTATTTAGTAAAAGAATAGTACTCACAAACAGCGAACAAAAACAGGCATGCAAGTCCTCCCAGGGACTTCAAAGGCAAGAGACCAGCGCGAATCCCATCATGGGGGTAGACACTCAGTACAGCTGACGCGTTTCGAAGGTCATGAGCTCTGAGGAAGAAGGCATGACCTTCGAAACGCGTCAACTGTACCGAGTGTCTACCCCCATGATGGGATTCGCGCTGGCCTCTTGCCTTTGAAGTCCCTGGGAGGACTTACATGCCTGTTTTTATTCGCTGTTTGTGAGTACCATTCTTTTACTAAATAAATTTTGGTTACTGAGGTAATGCGCAAGGTTGGTGCGCTTCTTCTTGTTTTACTGCACAGTATCTTATGCCCTATCTCAGCAACAATAGACAGATAACCAACCAGTTTAAAAAAAAAAAAAAAAAAAGTTTCTCCTCTGGCAATCTTATACAAACCAATAAACAAATACGTTGAAAGCGGAAACCCTCTTCAAAATGATGGAGATAGGGAAACATAGAAGCCTTGCATCTGCAATAAGCTCTGATTGTGAGGATCTGACTTATTTCTGTCTCTAAGCAGTTAATACCCAATAAGAAAAACCATTTGCAAATCTGTCATGCATTGCATGGCCTTCAGTCACCTCAGCTGTGCCAGTACAGGGTTAATGAGATTGCACAATAACTAGCAGGTTAATTAATGTGATAGCCAGATATTTCTTTAAGATAGGCGCAGACATGAAAATGGAAGTTAGACTGGTGGATTTTCGAATGAACAGAGTCTCTTTATACATATCACCAGAACCTCACCAATGCTGCCTATATTCAGACCTGCAGAGCATTTCCACACAAAGGACTGCAGAACATTGCACCATGTAAACATTTTCTTGCTTGAGACCTGCCAAGCACACCAATGTGACAACCTCTTCTGGCTAAGACCTGAAAAGGGTTTTCAAAAATCAAACCAGAATTCCAGTGTTTAAACCCTGCCAGGGGCCACAGTTATATCACCAGTTTGCAGCAGAGCTTTGCTCTGTACCAACTCTTCATCGGCCGAATACTCTCATCTCTTATACCTTAACATCCTCCCAGCCCCAACTTTCCATAGAGTTCACCGATCCAAGCCTATCATCAGCCTGTTCTTGTCCTCTTGGATGCCCTCAGCTTTCAGATCAGCAAAGATCTGAGTGAAATACTGGGGGTCTGCATTGATGCGCAGCATCTTGGGGCTCATTAGTCCAATGACAGACAGGCATCGGTCCCAAAAGGCCTCTTTAGAGCTTTCCACTAGGAAGGGCTTTAATGGGTAAGAGATTTCATTGCCCATGTAGGAGTAGGACAGGTATACACAGGTCAGTAAGGAAGCCTGTAATTCTTGCTCGCTGGCCAGCTCGGAAGAAATGACGTCTCGGCAGAGCATGTACAAAAAGACCACATTGGCTGGGGTGATGAAGCCTTGGTCCTGCCACCCCTGGAGAAGTAGAGATCGGTCTACACTTCTCAGCCATAGCACAGGGTCTGTAGGTGAAAGATGCTTCAGCTTGTAACACCTTCTGCAGAGGAACTCTCCGAGACATTTCAGCAGTTCACTGGTGGAGGCCTGCACCACCACGCGTTTCGGAGAAGAGTGCACTTGCTGCTGCTGAGATGACTTACTGACAGAAGACACCGGGTCCTTAGAAACAGAATCTTTTGAATCCTGCGTGAAGCTCGACAGGTTAGCACAGGAGAGGGACTTCTTAAGATTCTCACTATTGAGATGAGTGATGTTGTTCTGGTAACCAATGTTGGTCTGACTCTTTTTCGGTTGCCTCTTTTTGGAAGAGACTGCCACAAGTCGTTTCCATGGTAACACAGAGATGAACGAATGTCTCTTGAGAGATTTTCCATTCTTGCTATTCTGGACGGCAGTGTAATGAGCCACGCTGGATGAGCTGCCTTCAAACAGTCCCGCCTTGCGGTAGCTTGGGGATATGGAGAGGACCGTCCCCATGGTTGCGTTAAGTCTGGCAACGAAGCTTTTAAAAGGGGCGAGTCAAATTTCCAGCATCATTTCAGGTTATTGCTTGAATGAAAACCTAAAAATGAAAAGATACTGCAATTGGTTATTTGTTTCTACTTATAACATATGTATCAAAATATATAGAAACATCTTACCTACCACATAAGGGCAACACATCTAAGCCCCTACATTAACTTTTGACAGACACCATATAGCAAAGTGGGGGTGTTTTATTGTAATTAGAACTTTTCATTGTCATTTTGTTAGATCAATCACACCAGCCTCTGGCCCTGAAGAGGCTTATGGCCTGTGTCAATGGGCTTTTGATCACTTCAGGTGGGTTTTGTATTCCCATACAAGTCTATTAGAATGCAACCCCTGCCCAAAGCAGGCGAAATGTAGGTCAGAAGGAGGTCAACTGCAGATTAAAAAGCACCTGTCAATGAATTCTTAATGATCCCAGAAGCATGTTTAACCTATGCCATCAAGACAAACCCAATGCCCATCTACACAGGCCCTTAGGGGTTGATTTACTAAAACCAGAGAGTAGAAAATCTGGTGTGTAGAAAAACCAGCTGCCAGTTCTTTTGTCAAAGCTTAATGGAACAAGCTGAAGTTAGAAGCTGATTGACTATCATGCAGAGTTGTACCAGATTTTGCACTCTCCAGTTTTAGTAAATCAACCGCTTAGTGCAGTGGTCCCAAAACTGTGGCCGCTTGCTTGCCTTGAGGTTACTATTCAATCTACAAACACAGACGATGGGGCAGAATTCCTTCCACCGACACCGACGATGGGGCAGAATTCCTTCCACCGACAGAACCGACGATGGGGCAGAATTCCTTCCACCGACACCGACGATGGGGCAGAATTCCTTCCACCGACGATGGGGCAGAATTCCTTTCCACCGACGATGGGGCAGAATTCCTTCCACCGACACGACGATGGGGCAGAATTCCTTCCACCGACACCGACGATGGGGCAGAATTCCTTCCACACCGACGATGGGGCAGAATTCCTTCCACCGACGATGGGGCAGAATTCCTTCCACCGACGATGGGGCAGAATTCCTTCCACCGACGATGGGGCAGAAATTTCCTTCCACCGACGATGGGGCAGAATTCCTTCCACCGACGATGGGGCAGAATTCCTTCCACCGACGATGGGGCAGAATTCCTTCCACCGACGATGGGGCAGAATTCCTTCCACCGACGATGGGGCAGAATTTTCCTTCCACCGACACCGACGATGGGGCAGAATTCCTTCCACCGACACCGACGATGGGGCAGAATTCCCTTCCACCGACACCGACGATGGGGCAGAATTCCTTCCACCGACACCGACGATGGGGCAGAATTCCTTCCACCGACACCGACGATGGGGCAGAATTCCTTCCACCGACACCGACGATGGGGCAGAATTCCTTCCACCGACACCGACGATCCACCGACGATGGGGCAGAATTCCTTCCACCGACACCGACGATGGGGCAGAATTCCTTCCACCGACACCGACGATGGGGCAGAATTCCTTCCACCGACACCGACGATGGGGCAGAATTCCTTCCACCGACACCGACGATGGGGCAGAATTCCTTCCACCGACACCGACGATGGGGCAGAATTCCTTCCACCGACACCGACGATGGGGCAGAATTCCTTCCACCGACACCGACGATGGGGCAGAATTCCTTCCACCGACACCGACGATGGGGCAGAATTCCTTCCACCGACACCGACGATGGGGCAGAATTCCTTCCACCGACACCGACGATGGGGCAGAATTCCTTCCACCGACACCGACGATGGGGCAGAATTCCTTCCACCGACACCGACGATGGGGCAGAATTCCTTCCACCGACACCGACGATGGGGCAGAATTCCTTCCACCGACACCGACGATGGGGCAGAATTCCTTCCACCGACACCGACGATGGGGCAGAATTCCTTCCACCGACACCGACGATGGGGCAGAATTCCTTCCACCGACACCGACGATGGGGCAGAATTCCTTCCACCGACACCGACGATGGGGCAGAATTCCTTCCACCGACACCGACGATGGGGCAGAATTCCTTCCACCGACACCGACGATGGGGCAGAATTCCTTCCACCGACACCGACGATGGGGCAGAATTCCTTCCACCGACACCGACGATGGGGCAGAATTCCTTCCACCGACACCGACGATGGGGCAGAATTCCTTCCACCGACACCGACGATGGGGCAGAATTCCTTCCACCGACACCGACGATGGGGCAGAATTCCTTCCACCGACACCGACGATGGGGCAGAATTCCTTCCACCGACACCGACGATGGGGCAGAATTCCTTCCACCGACACCGACGATGGGGCAGAATTCCTTCCACCGACACCGACGATGGGGCAGAATTCCTTCCATTGACACCGACGATGGGGAACTTTTCCTCCCACTGACACCAAAGATAGGGAATTTTTTTTACTCCTACTGGACACCAGGACATTTTCTACTCCCACTGGTTCTAGTCTGGGCCCCCTAAAGTCTGCAGGACAGTAAACTGGCCCTTTGAGTAGAACATTTGGGGACCCCTACCTTAGTGTGTATAGAACCTCAACAATGAATGCCTCTCATTTTCTACGATTTGGTCTGTTAAATACACCATTAAAAGCAGTTTTGCTATATGTTAGAGAACTGTAATGAAAAAAAAAAAAACACTGATCATAATCAGAAATTCAGAGTTGTCCTGTGCACACTTCCTGTGTAATCTCAAGTGTAATCTCCCAGTTCTTATCACACAACAACTGGACCCGATGTTGTGGACATGACGATAGCGGGTGGTTTCAAGTATTATAGCAAAAGAATAAACTAGTCAGGGCCTACACCACTTAGTCCACAAAAAGTCTGTCCTGACACACACTCTACGATGTAACATCCCTGCTAAGTCACTCACATACACCCAAGCCTGCTGGATGGAGGCCAATTAACATTTTTGGATGAGTCCCTAGAAGAAACCCCCACAGACATGAGGAAAACATACAAACTCCATGAAGAAAGGGTTGCTTGTGGAAACTGAATCCAGAAACCAAGTACTACAATGCTGCACCAGCCTTACCATGCTGTTCTGCTACTTTTTTTAGGCACACGTTATACAAAGTGGATCTATGAAATGTATTTTATGGGACGGAGTGACTATTTTTTAAGCAAGTCTCATTGGTGTCAAAGGATGGCACTTTTTTTTAATAATCCATCCATGTTATTTGTTAAATCTTGCAAACTCAATAGGAGCGATCCCATTATTCTATGTTACCTGAATATGTCATATTGTCCGGATAATTCAGCATTGAAAGTGGCTGGGGGCCCCATTTGTGACATTTTTTTGAGTGGTGGTCCCAAACCATTTCCTCAAGAGTCAAATGCAGCTCTAGGCTAAGTTTAATATGAACCGCAAGAAGTAATCAGAACTGAAATATCGAAGCACCTGCTTAATTAAATATTTTGCCGAAGTAGTTAAGCAGAAGTCGGATTCATAGAATTACCATATTTCACAACACTAGATATGGGGGTGCAGTTTTTCCATGCCTAGTTTGACTAGATTGCTGGCTGTGACTTTGACACGTATGTCAACAAAAGGTTGATGAACTTCACAATAATTTACATCTACAGTGTGTATGTTTATGGGGAACGCTCCAGTCTATCCTGAATAGCCTGTGTCTGGCTGTCTGCATTCCTATGTGTGTATGTGAATGGATGACACCCACAAACCTGGCCTGGGAGTGAAAACTACAATGAGTCAGCTGCAAATTGCCATCGTCTGCATTGTCCCATCTACAAGATTGTAATCCGGCTGCATCTGATCTGGGTGCAGCTGATGGCTGCTTATTTATAGCCATCACTATTTGAATGTAAAATTCCTATTTACTTCTGACCAAATAATTATCGGTTATCACAACCTTATCCTCAGCTGGGGACATTACTATTTTAAAACCTTCAGTATGTCATTACAGCTCTCCTAGTATAGAATGGGTGACGGCTTTATTGTGTGTTTGTGCATGAGTGCAAGAAAAAAAAAAAAAGTATTACTCATCTGATTGTTAAAGTATAACTAAAGGCAAAGTTTTTTTTTTTTGCAGTTTGGATAGAGTACCAAAAGGGGTTAGAACCTCTAAGATTTTTACTTGCTGCCTGTTAACCAAGACAATTCGGATAAATCCAAAATGTCAAGCTGCTACCAGAACGAGAAAATAGGGGAAATCTTTCCAATAGGGATACTGCTCATAACAACTAAGAGGAAATTTCCCTTACACTGGAAAGATATCTTCTCACATCCTGTTGGGTCTACAAGAAGTGAATTGAAAAGAGACAGACAAAAAACAAAACAAAAAAAAAAAAAAAAAAACAAAACAAACACAAAAAAAACCCCAAACAATACAAAAAAACAAAAACACACACACACCTTGACAGCAGTCTAATTTTCTAAATAAAACAGTAGCTTTTAATATACTTTAAGCCAAAAGCAGACCACGTAGCTCTACCTACAGTTCTAAAGGGATATACCCCGATCAGCCACAACTTTAGGACCACGGATAAGTGAATAACACTGATTATCTTGTTACAATGGCATCTGAAAGATCGGAAATATTAGGCAGCAAGTAAACATGTTGCCCCTGAAGTTGATGTGTTGGAAGCAGGAAAAGAAAAAAAAACAAAAACAAAACAAATGGCCATTGTGTATGGGGCTGCGTAGCTGCAGACCACTCAGGGTGCCCATGCTGACCCATGTCCAAAGCCAAAAGCACGAATGATGGGCACAAGAGCATCATAACTGGACCACAGAGCAACTGTAGAAGATGGCCTGGTCTGATGAATCACATTTTCTTTGTCATAAGGTCGATAGCCGGGTAAGTATGTAATGCTTAGCTGGGGAAGTAAGAACACCACAATGCAGTATGGAAAGTAGGCAAGACGACAGAGGCAATGTGATGCCTTATACAATGGTCTGCTGGGAAACCTTGG